AAAGTTACATAAATTATTCCATACAGATAAGGGATATCTGTCTTGTGAGACTCGTATACAGAAGTAGAAACACCGTATGAAATCCCCAAAGTTTATAATTAGAATTAGAAGCTTAGCGTTACGGGGTAAATAGCGAAGGCTTAAGGTTTAGTTTAGAATTAAAAGTCTTAGTTTTCTGACCCCAAACCAGTGTTTATTCTGGACATAAAATACTGATCATTTGATGCGCTTAGTTTCATTTTCCACCCTGTAACGAAAAATCAATATTTTCTGTCAATTTTGACGTTTATTTTACTACTCAATCGATGTGACGAAAGTCTAAAGTCATTCGCTTTCGAATTTCTCACCAAAATGTAACGGCCGTAACTTGATTCTGAGTAGTTTGTCTCTGTACTGTTCTTTAAACAATCAACCTTAAAATCGTAAAACAGTTATAGAGATATTTTTACTGTATGACCATCATTTATTATTCGTGATAACTTCATCGGATATTTTAACTGCAATCTTTTGTCTTTTCTGGTAACATTGTTTACATTGAGATCATGAATGAATCATTGTTAGACAACCAGTATAAACCTGGAAGAACTGGCCGGCGGATTCGTCCTGGTATGGGACTACCTAAGACAATGGGTGGAATTTCGTAAATTCCCTAGATTGATCAGAGTTAGACATCAACGCCATTGGATGCCGGCTCAGTGGTACAGAGGTTAGGCGTTCGCGTACAAGACCGATGGTGATAATTTCGACTCGTGCGAGTGGCAGGAGTCGTGAATACACACTGCTGATGAGTCCTATAGTGGGACGAAACTACCATTCAATGCTTCCAGGTTTCTTATGGTGATCGAACAATGACTAACTCATGATTTTTATGTAAAACAGCAATCTCCATAATACTACAGTGCAACGAAAAATTGCGTACATTTTGTTTACTAGTGAAGTGGAATCAAATGATCGACAAAACCTTATCAGTTTATTTACTTTATATTAGAATATGCTAACCAGTAGGCTTAAATAATAATGATGAGCTTGAATGTCCACTTCTTAATCTCCTTCAGCCAATTAAAGAACAGCAAACAAAAATGAATACGTTGTTATGTTGTGACAAGGATTTACAGTTTAGAATTTAGATTTGGAATTAGGTTTAAAGGTCAGTCTGATAAATATGTGAAGTCCTAACCCCCACTCTAACTGTAACCCTAGGCCATAAGCATCCATATTCAACAAGTGACACAAGTCAATTAGGACTTCTGAGAACAATACACTCTTCCGGCTTATTAACTTGTGCTTTTTCTGAAGATTTACCTAATGAGAACAACACATATAAGCGAACAATATTATTGTTTTCGATTAGATCGTCATCAGGCTTTACTCTAATATACATGAATATTTGATATGAAAATGTTAAACCAATCAAGGCAATTTGAGTGATAATCACAATGAAATGAAAAAGGCAAAAGTACAAGTGGATAGTAAGAAGATAGGTGAACCGATAGTAGTAGGAAAATTTATAAAATATGATAACTAAAGTAGGTCAAAGGTGGATGAATAGAATTCAAATAATGGGAGGTATACGATAGATCACTTCATTTCATTGTGATTATCACTCAAATTGCCTTGATTGGTTTAACATTTTCAATATAACTATTCATGTACATTAGAGTAAAGCCTGATGACGATCTAATCGAAAACAATATTGTTCGCTTATATGTGTTGTTCTAATTTTCACAATGGGAATCTTCAATATTTACCTAATGGTCATGTATTTACACAGGGTGGCAAAATAACTATCAACTATAAAACATATTGAATATTCGAACCCGGGACCTTTGGCATTGTAGGCGAACGCCTTACCATTGGTAGTTACTGCCCACACCCGACAGGGTTGAACTCCATTGGTCACGTCTTCTCAACTAGAACTCCGAGAATTTCCTCACGAAGCTAGTCATTAGTGAGCACTGTTACGATATTTTGGGGCACAGTTTTGGAGGTTTGCGTTTTTACACATTTGAAATCATCAATCAACCATTGTTAGACCACCATTAGAAACCTGGAAGCACTGGACGGCCGTTTCGTCCTGGTATGGGACTCATCAGCAGTGCGCATCCACGATCAATCAGAGTTAGACATTAACACCTTTGGATGTCGGCCCAGTGGTCCGATGGTAAGGCGTTCGCCTACAAGGCCAGAGGTCCCGGGTTCGAATCCTGCGGGGAGCAGGAGTCGTGGATGCGCACTTCTGATATTGAATATTCACAAACTGGTTTAAAAACTGATTTTCAAAAAGAATGTCATTCAAATCAATTAACTACTCACACTTTCATCAGTTTGAACAACAATAATCGAAGGAAGTTGAAAAAAAAGACATAACAGTGAATATTGAACATGTGTATCATTTTAGTAAAGCGCAAATATATTTGAGTATTTCGGTGCATCAAAATAATTTTAAATATTTAGTAATATATATATATATATATATGAAAAAAAAGTAAAAGCGTTTTCATGTTCACATGTTACAAAGCATATTTCATTAATCAATTATTTTCACTTATTTGTCAGTGTAAAACTTCCATCCAAACAATTAAATTTGTTTTAATTGTTAACGCATAACATTCAAATTAGTCATTGCATATTTTACCCTAAAAATTATTGTGATGCATACACATTTTATATATCATTGATAAATATATGCTATATGAAACGTTAATTGATTACCAGAAGTTAAGTATTTACGGTACACTGTCTTATACACATTGAAATCTTGAATCAATCATTGTTAAACCACTATTAGAAACCTAGAAGCACTGGACGGCCGTTTCGTCCTGTTATGGGATTCATCAGTGGCAGTTCGCATCGAAGAACCTAGGACCTTCTGTCTTGAGCGTAAACGCCTAATCTCTGGACTGTCTTATGTTCAATATCTATTCTTGATACTATTGTCTGTTTAAATAGTCTTCCCTAAAATTATCGTTTAGAGACTGGAAAGAGTTTCTAGATTGTTCTTACTTAAATTTAGAAATTAGAGCCCGAGTTTTTCGCTTTCATACTGACATCAATCATAATGCATGACTGTCAATGTGAATGAATAAGTAATTTACTATTGCGTATTTACAAATGGGATTTGGGTTTTTACTTATATTATCTACAATTTACAAATGGAGCTTGTGATAGATTGAACAGCGATCGCGGATTAGTCTGTATATATATACACTTCTGTATACTTGAAATTCGCAAGACAGTTGAACGATTATAAAAATTGTGTAGATTTTTTTGTTTGGTCTAAACTTCAGTTACATTATTCATCTTATTGTTTCTCGTTAAGATTGACAAATTACTTAAACATCTTCTCCGGCTTGTTTGCCCCTTACAATGTTTGATCAATAAAGTAAATTTTACTTTCTAGTTGTATTCATTCTAAATTGAAGAGTTTATCATATCAGGGTAACGTGTAATAAGATCACAACATGGTTTCGGCTAGTACACATACTTGAAGTATACGTTTCCTAGTTTGAATAGACGTGATATATATATATATATATATATATATATATATATCCTCCGCATTGACTAGTTCTCATTTCATCTGAAAACAACTGATCCTCTTAATGAAACAGAAATAACACATGAATTTCTACAAGTTTTATCGTAAGTTCTCTTATTATTGTAACGACAGTGTGAGAATCAAGTATTGATATTTTAGTTACGTGAATAAAACTATTTTGAAAAGATTTAGATTGGTTAGAAGCAGTTATTAGGTTAAATAATGAACAACATTTTCCTTTGAACTGAATTTAAAACTATGAGACATTTTGATGTTCATTATTGTATATAATAAAAATAGATTAGATATATTGTTCTATGGTTAAGATGAACTAATTTTCAAGGATTACTTTTCTCGGTCTAACAAAAATCGGAATCTATCATTTGATTTTATCTGGTCACAAAAAATTCTTAATAATAATCATAGTAAAACTATCATGACAGATCAGTCGATCAGTCATAGTCAACATACAACTAAGAAGAAATATGCTTCAATTCAGTTTGCTACTTCACATTACCACAACATAATGATTTGATCAATGATGATGGAAACAGCTAAACACTGAGATTATGATTTGTGAAAAAAATGATGAATAGGGTATGCAAAACATGAATACTAAAATACACAATTTAGAATCTATTTAGAATTGAGTACATCTACACACTAATGTGACCAATTCGGAACTATTTCATCTACCATACTCAGAAGTAGATAGTTTGCATAAAGCAGACGCCCAAACCGGACAAACAGCCACTCCCTAAGCTTTTGACCAAAAAGTCTAATTCACAGGGTAATGGTGCAGAGTAAGGTAACCCGTGACCAACAGTAGATTTATAAGCCAGTCTTTCCATCAGGATCCTAGAAACCATGTGAACTATTGGTTTGTAATCAGGGTTTTCCAACTACTTTAAGTGGAACTGTTTTTGCTCTACACTTCTATGGCCAATTCTGAACCATTTCATCTAACGTACCAAGAAGTAGATAGTTTGAATATATATCACTACGACTAAGTAAAAAGTTAATGAATTCATGAATTGATGCCTTTTTCGAATAAACTGTCCTCATTTTACACTAACTCACATCACATTACAGAGTTGTTAAACGTATGTACAAAACCTTCCCGTGAATCATCATTTGCAAACAAATTCTTATTTGTTTCAGATTTCAGTGTTCTTTCATTTAGAATGTTCAGACTTCAGTTCATTTTACGTTACCTACAAATCACCTTCTGTTTCATTCTTTCCTTCCCGATCTTTTGCAGTCAGACGTTTGATTTCCGTTTGATATCATATACTACTTATGTGAACATAAGTAGCGTACACCACACTATAATACAATATTATTAATTTGATCGATTGATCAGTCATATTTCTGATTATTTTCTAATCCATCATTTTTGCTTTTTTTTTATTTCTTCCTTTTTATTTCACAAATCATATCATCATTTCAATAATCATTCAAGTCAAGTACTGATTCATTGCAACATTTTAATAAACCAGAAGAGATTGATTTGGTATACACCACTGAGATTATTGCACCGCCAGCAATTCCAACAAAAATGTCATCGGATCCAAATAGTCATATCTATGTGAATCATTCAATTAAACCGAATAGACCACCGACTATATTTAAAAAAGACAGTGATGTAAGTTGGTTAGATTTTTTCTTGAAATAATGCAGTTTCACTCTTATTGTACATACCTTCTTGAAGGTGATAATCATATTGGATATATATGAGGTTATTAGAGAGATATGTTGTTTCCTGTTACTTCAGTCATGTTTTCAATTATGTAGTGTTTGGAAGTTTTGAATACAACATAGATATTGAACATTGAAAATGTTGAGATGAATAGATTGATTTCAAATTCTAACATGTATACAATCAACCAATGGCTGACTGAAATTTGAAGACACCTTACTCAACTCTGATTGGTCAAATAAAACTGAAAATCCTCGAGAGTTATACAGAATTGCTTGCTATTGTTTTATTTGACATCTGAACGTATAACAAACAGATTTCAATTGTTGTTCAATGATAACAATCAGGAATATAATAAGGTTGTAAAAGTTGAGGATTCTGATAAGAGATTTATAAGGAAACATACATATGTTTATCTAAAATTTAATTGAAATCCAGAATTCTGTTAAACTACAGTCAGATATACTGAGACCGGTTATTACTTCTCAGTTTGACTACGGCTGGTCACAAAAGACCTTTTACAAGTAGTTTTAAATTGGTTAATTCTTTCTTCTGAAAGCTTAACAGAATGCACAATGATATTCGCTATTTCTAGAACGTACAATTTACAATCCCCTGTTTATTCGTTATAATAAGGAAGTGTTACTAGAGACTTAGGCTGTACTAGAGAAGCATATTATTGTATCCAGATCTTTGTTCTGTCAGTAGTATAACTTCTGCTTCCGACTCTAAGCTTACTGCTTTTATTCACACTATTCTCCAACCTGTTTGATATGATGAAGTTTAAGGGAGTAGCTGTTCTTTAATCGGGTCGTCACAAAACCTCAGCCTAAGCTTACTGCTTTTATTCACACTATTCTCCAACCTGTTTGATATGATGAAGTTTAAGGGAGTACGTGTTCCTTAATCGGGTCGTCACAAAACGTCAGCCGAACAACCAAGATAAGGTAACATATGAGTGGCCTATGCCTATGCCTGGCTTCATCCCACTATCATTTTTTAAAATGTCCACCTATGTATTCCACTGCTTCAAGAAGGAAGGCCCACAGTTTCCTGTAAGATTTAATAGTTTACTTCCATATCTAAGTTCTACTTTTAGTGGAATCAGTATACAATTACTGAACTGAAAACGCAAACTTCACTAAGCAACATTTGAATGAGAGCACTTTCGAATATTCCATTATTGTCAGTACATACATAAAAAAAAAGAGAATAATCGTTATTATCATGATGATTATAATATTTTATCATTTCAAATTAATTTTAGTTCCATAACTAATAAATTTAAGTAGAATAAAAACAATAGTTACTCATGACTAGTAGAAAAAAATATTCCAAAATTTAAATTTAGGAACATCATGATAAGCATATTTATGCAAACAGTCAAGAATTGAAAAATGTTCGAAAGGTTAGTCACTTGCCTCTTGTGCTTGTTTTATCCAAACAATAAAATAACTCATTTTATTTTTTGTTATTATTGTTGCTGTTGTTTTGGTTTTCTATACTCCATTGTTATTTTTTTGGCTTCTCCTTCCAAACTTATCCAATTATATACATAGACAGAGTGATTTTCTTATTCACCAACTCATCCAAACGCACAGATACACATTCACATACAAACATAAAAATAAATGTTCTATGCCTACACTGTATACATGCATAACAGTTGTCATCAATATTTTCAGGCAGAGTTTGCGAGGTTTGTGTTTTTTTTACACATTTGAAATCATCAATCAATCAATCAATCAATCATTGTTAGATCACCATTAAAAACCTGGAAGCACTGGATGGCCGTTTCGTCCTGGTATGGGACAACTCATCAGCAGTGCGCATCCACGACTGCAGTAACTACCAAAGAAAAATGGGTGAGGTCGCGCAAAATCCGTAGATCAGTCAGAGTTAGACATTAACACCGTTGGATGCCGGCCCAACGGTTCGATGGTTAGGCGTTCGCGCACATTACCGAGGGTCCCGGGTTCGAATCCTGCGAGGTGCAGGAATCGTAGATGCGCACTGTTCTTGAGTCCCAAACCAGGGCGGAACGGCCGTCCAGTGCTTCCAAGTTGTCATCAAGACAAAGTGTTAACAATGCATGTTAAGGTATAAAAGAATGAAAAAAAACTGATTATTTAACGATGATCTGTTGTGAATGCACCACATGGCATGTTTCTCCTGTTTTGTTTGAGTGTTTTATGTCGCTCTATAATTGTTTTTTTTGTGATTTTCCCTTATTTTGATGTTTTGCACTCATCAAATAATAACGCTTTCATTCTGTTCATTTACTGTCCAATTGAATATTGAAACTAGTACAAGTAGTGCTTTGTAATTATTCTATAACAGTGAAATGAAATACGACATCTGAATTAATGGTTTTAATCATTTTTGTGATTAGAATATAAATATAATTTGGTGTTTTTGAGGTGTAATACTCGTAATTCAAATAAATAAGAATGAAAATATCAAGTTACGGTTCTTTGTACAAACTGGTTGTCTTCAATGATTTATTAGAGAGCTAATTCGTCCTAGCTTGATATTTCTTTAGAGTGAGTACACACAATAACAAGTTGGATCGAACCTAGGATATTTAGAAGCATCAGCGACCACAACACTAGTAACTGTTTTGAAGAAAAAACGGGAAAGCGTTCATAGAGAAAAAAATGTCTCCTATCAAACTGGAAGGTGATTTAATTACACAAGGAAATTACCGAATTTCAGATCATGGACTTCTAAATTCTGTCATAGTGACCGAACTCGATCATGATTGCCGTAATATGTGAATGTCAAAAGTGTCATTTTATTTCAGGTAACGGATAAACATAGTTGAATCATCTTATGATATGACGAAATAGTCATCGAGTTTTCCATAGTTTTGTGGTAATTCTGTATATAGTTTAGCTTTAATTCATTCCTAAAATGAGCCTATTATAACTATGTTCTGGCTGTATATGCTTTAAAGTAATGACCATTGACAATCAATCAGTAAAATTTCTCATAAAACTTTAACTACTTATTTTGTTTCAGTAGTAAAACTTTTTAAAACAACTAAATATGAGATATCGATATTTCAAATAAAAAAAATCAATAATATGTAAGTCAGCTGTTATAGAGGTTTATAAAACTGTACTACTATTATACATACATATATATGTACATAAATCAATCAATATCCTTGTCACATAATAGGCAAAGGAGTTCGCAGCTGCAGCCATTGTCGACAATATGGTATCCCACCAAGAAACTTATTGGAAAGATGAGTTGAATCATCATAATCTAACCAGTCAACCATCAGATATGAATTATCGACAGTATTATGTGACAAAAAGTGAACATTCAACACCGAAACTATCTACCAGATCACAAAGTTGCTCAGCTAATAATCATCATGGACAGAAGCCTTATCTAACACCAGATTTACGTTATACTCATCATCAGTTAACATTGCCAAAACCTAAAAGACCAACTGATCCACCGCTGTTATCCCCATTGGATCATCATCATCATCAAGAACAGGATAAATTCGTTGCAAAGACTAATATCAGTGCTCGCCGATTAGATTTAGTGAATTCAATTAATCCGAACAATAAATTTTTCGATTACGATCATCATGAACATTCGAACGATTCGGTTGGATATTATAACACAGAGGTGAGATGAGGACACTACTAACATTACGCGCGCGCGCGCGCGCAAAAAACAAACTAATCAGATGCATACATGCAATATATCCCGTACAAAATCTACTAAGCTCATACACTGTTGCTAGCCGCTTAAACTATTCTAATATTAGCTTGATTGGTTAATAATGAATGGCAGCATTGCTCACTAATTTCTTTTGTTGACTAATTCGTATGTGTAGCGTAAGATGGGTTGGTGATTTAGTTTATGCGACTGAAATATGCAAATATTTTTTTGCTAACCTTTATAATATAATTATTTCCGAATTCAGTTAAAGATGTTTACCTTAACTGTCTAACTATGAAGGAATATTAATGTACTTAGAGAAGTTCCAGCATTAGGTGGTAACCTTCTATCTAGTTTTGTTTTTCAGTCAATGAATAATTTCCATATCGATTTGGATATTATTATTTGGCATACTTTGATGAAAAATCTTGACCTCATTGCTAAAAAAAGTTTAATGATAGAAATAAATGTTCAGGATAAGTTTATAAAACTTTCTAGAAAATTAGTTTACCATCCATTGTTCATATCGATTTAACCCAATACCCAATATCTAGAAAATGATGATTATATGTTCTTCCACTAAAAATCATTCATTTTTAACTGACACAGGAGCTGAATAGAAAAGTTGGAGTTTCTGTTAACTTGGTGAAATTAAATAATATCACGTAATTCAGAAACATGAGCTACTTGAAGCCAGTCCAACTGACATAAAGCCTACATTTTTGATTCGTTTTTGAAAGTTCGCATCACGTTGTTGATGAGCTTTGAAACTATTTTGAAACAAATGTCTTAAGCTCTATGGTTATCACTGGTTGGCTAACCGAACTCACAATTATACTTTTCAGCTTATAAAACACAATAATCACATCATGATTATTCTAATCAGTTATAAATCTTTGTTATCGTAGGAAAATAATCTTTTCAGATTAAAACTCATTGGAAGTATTCTGCTAATGTAGATCTATTGTTAAACTCGACCAGAACAGAACAGAATAGAACACTTCCTAGATGTTGCACAGTAATAATCATTTAACTTACTTATGGTAGAAATTTGGGTGACAAATTAATGATTTAACACTTTTCGTTTCACTATTATTTGGTTACTAATAGCAACGCTAGTTGATATTTCCGAAAACAAAAAAAAATATCATAGACACAGACAGTGTTGAATTTCACTAACAAACAACAGCACAACTAGTAATCTGTGAAAAATTTTTGAATACTCAAGAATCAATAGTAAAGTTTTTTTTATGTCAGTATGATAAATAACACGCTAGTTCTTATTGTTTTTTTCCGTTTCTAATATATATTATATTACTTTATTTATTCACACTAAAGCACATAACACAATTTTATGGTTGTACTGTTTATTTTATTTCTTAGTCGAATAACCAATATTGTTTTTATTGGAATCTCATTTTTGTGTGCTTGCTAACTGTGAAATATGAGCAGCCATAATTGTTACATATTATTATTTAAATTAGAACACGTTTTCACACGTTTGAAAAATTCCTACTGACGAAGTAACAAGTTTTTTTGGTGATTTGGAATTGATTTATTCAGTGCTAATATTCTATCACTGTACGATACAAATTTAAGTAGTATCAGATGAGATAAGCAGTTTTTTTTAAGTAGAAGACACAACAATCTCCTAGCCAAAATGTGTACAAACATTGTGACAGAATATCCATTTTACAAAATCAGCTTGTGTATGCTTCTCAGCCTTCCCCCCGCATGACTCCTATTCCTCAACACATTTTGATCGCGTCATGCATCCGGATACAACAGTCACTGTTAGCTTTGTTCGTAACTTTAGGGTGGCATGCTGATACACTATCCACTGCATACTACTTATAAGCTTCACTGAAAGTAGTGCATACCAGAGTCTACAAACTTGTATATCCAAATTAGCTACACTTAACGTCCCCTGATTATAATTGATTTTATTCGCTACAAGTTCTTTCAAAATAATCACAAGATACTAATATCGATGTTTATTAAATATGTAAGTCGATGGCAAGACATATTTTCTTATTATAATTATGGGCTATTCTCAAAAGAAGTGACTTTAGTTAGAATTACCGATGAAAATCAAAGGGAGCAGTTTAGTTCATCTTATAATGAAGTTCCACTATACCGGGCATAAGAGATAGTATGTCAGCAATGGTAACTGCCGGCGAATGAGTATTATCACGTAATTCAGAAACTTGAGCTACTTGAAGCCAGTTCAACGGTTAAAAAACTAGTCGTTATGAAAGTTTTCGTATCACGTTGTTGATGAGCCTTACACTATTTTGAAACAAATATCTTAAGCTCGTTAATTATCAGTGATTCGCTAACTGAACTCAGTCTAATATAACCTTTTGTTATCGAATGATTTAACTGTTATCTTTACATAAAATTCAGTATAATCATTATTAGTCTTTATTATTTCATAACGACATCCTATGAAATTTTGTAAAGTTTAATTTGAAAAAATCCGTTTATGATATTAGTAGTAATTGAAAACTGCAAGAAATTAATTACTTTTGAAAGCTCACTGTTCATTTCTCACAATCCACGGGAGATAAACACAATAGAAATTCGGCGATTCCTTCCTGAAAGAATACTAATCAGGTCATCGACTGGATTATGAAGACGTCGACGTCTGGAGGGAAGCACGTTATCAACTGGACAGTTAGGACGCAGCTGGACGATCTGGACTTCGCAGATGACCTGGCTCTTCTATCGCAAACGCAACAACAAATGCAACAGAACACGACCAGTGTAGCAGCAGCTTCTGCAGCAGTAGGTCTCAACATACATAAAGGAAAAAGCAAAATTCTCCGATGCAACACAACATGCACCAACCAAATCACTCTTGATGGAGATGCCTTGGAGGACGTTAACACCTTTACATATCTGGGCAGCATCATCGACGAGAAAGGTGGATCCGATGCAGATGTGAGGGCGCGGATTGGCAAAGCAAGGGCTGCATTTCTACAGTTGAAAAATATCTGGAACTCCAAACAAATATCAATCAACACCAAAATCAGGATTTTCAATACAAATGTGAAGACAGTTCTACTGTATGGAGCGGAAACATGGAGAACTACCAAAGCCATCATCCAGAAGATACAAGTATTCATTAACAGTTGTCTACGCAAAATACTTCGGATTCGTTGGCCAGACACCATCAGCAACAACCTACTGTGGGAGGGAACAAACCAGATTCCAGTGGAGGAGGAAATCAAGAAGAAGCGGTGCAAGTGGATAGGACACACACTACGAAAAGCACCTAACTGCGTCACAAGACAAGCCCTCACATGGAACCCTCAAGGCAAAAGGAAAAGAGGAAGGCCAAAGAATACATTACGCCGTGAAATAGAGAAAGATATGAGAGGAATGAACAAACATTGGACAGAACTGGAGAGGGAATCCCAGGACAGAGTTGGTTGGAGAAAACTGGTGGGCGGCCTATACTCCATTGGGGGTAACAGGCGTAAGTAAGTAAGTAAGGTAATCAAGTATTCGTGTAACATAATTCAACCAAACTATCAAGAAAATGCCATGGTCAGAATAAAAATACTTTCAATACACTTGAAAAACAAACTGGTCATACTGAATAAAAGTTACATAACTACTAGTCATTATTATCGAGTTTCATCTTCTAAAGATTTTTTAAAAAAGCAGACACATTTAACTCATCTTTACCACAATGAAAAACAATCATATTAATAATAATCATACTCAAATCAGTTTGTGAGATGGTTAAAATCAATTTACATGAATCCTTAGACTTTTCACTTGTTCAGGAACAATTATCGAAATAGTAAGATGCTTTTTTGACAAACCAATACAAAAAAGCCAAGAAAAGCTTGTTGGCATGATACATGTCATGTTTTATTTTTAATTAAAAATCTTAACTTTTATTTTTAAAACGAATGCCCATTTAACTATTTTCAACGCTAGACCCACTATACCACTGAATTAACTCCACTCGTCTAATTGCCTTGTTTAACCATTAGAAAAATTATATCATTGTTTTTTTTGCCTGACAATATGTTTTTACTACTAACATAATGTCTTCATTGGTATGTGATCAGTGAATGGTCTTCTTCTAATCGTATGCTTGAAACTTCAAACTTCCACTATTGATATTATCTAGTGTCATTAGTAGTATTTACCTAGCATGAATAATAATTTTTATAATGTTAATGTTTTGTGTTCAATGTCCAATCTCGGCTATCAATTTTTTGTTGAGTTCAATATATATTATGAATTATTATTATTATTATTATTATGTTACCTATGTTTAAAATCTAGTTATTCCGCATACTTATACTTATATACACCTTTCCTTGTATCTTGATGATAATTCACCATTGTATAAATAAATATATGTATGTATATACATATATTTATGAAACTAAAGCCTTTATCAATGCAATATCAACCACATCATTCGTATACAATGCGATCGGACAGAAGAATTCTATCACCTGTCAGTTTGGATAGAAGTTATCCACAAGAATATGAGCAATATTATGTATCACCTGAAGTACGACGAGTACAAACAATGAGAGTAAGAAAAGTTGAAATAATATCTTATGCATACACGTATATATATATGTTTATTTATCATTCTTATGAAAGTTATTATGATATTAAACAGAGCTAATATTTTCTTTACTAATATTCCCATGGATGTTTAGACCTAAAATTTATCAGTCTGTTTGGCATATATGCATCCTGTGCGGATCGCCTTGATATTGCCTCTAAGTTACAAGCTTTATTAATAAAGGTGGATAGTGGTTACCAGTGGAATCCAGGAAGCGCGTTTGGTTTTATTTGGCATTAGTCAGCCGTATGTTCCTGCATCTCAAAGTTGATGTTCTCTCCGGAATGTGATGGTATTTGAAGCGTATGCTATTGAGTTCGAGTCCCAGTCCTAGATTCCACTGCTAGTCAGTATCCACCTGAACTATTAGTACTATTGATTAGTTAATTGGTAATCGAACTAGAAAGAGTTTATTTCTCGAAAATTGTGTGATTTCAGTTAGAACTAACTGTAGTTACGCAACATATTTTCGAATCATAGCAGCCATAATGAAGTCGCTCTTCATCGCAAGAGAATTTTAATCGATCTGATTCTGTGTTTGGATTCTTCATAATCAAAAATACTTTGTGACTTGTTGTCTCTATTGTACATAAATCATTCATGATAATGATCGCATACAAATTTCTTCATTTTTCTGTTTTCAATCGACTGACTGTATAGTGGCCATTACATGGTGGACATTAACTAAACTGAATATAAAACTTTTTCATAAAGCTATAAGTTCTTATAGTTGTATTGTCTAGTGCTTTTCAAAATAAAACGATATATTCAATGACTGGACTTTTTTCGGAAACCGCATAATAGAACAGAATATCCATTCAGTGACTTTAATTTTGCTTTCGCTCTTCAAGTAATTGGTAGAAGAATACCTAGTTTTTCCATTCATAAGATACTTCTTGATGAAATTTCATCCACTGGACCACTGAATGAGCATCCAAAAATGTCAATGTCTAGCTTCAATCATTCTGTGATACTCAACAACCATCACTCAATTTTTGCAGTTAGTAACAACTATCTCACACCCGACACGGATCGAAATCCACTGATCCCAATTTTTCACTACGATTTCAAGAATCCATCATGAAGCCAGTCACAAATCAACAATGATAGCAGATTTTTGGAGATGCTTTTATTTTCACAATTCAGATCACAAAGTGATCTTATATAAACCAACAATGAAAACTCATAATCAATGGCCGACCGTTTCATTCTGGTATATGACTCCTCAGCAGTGCTCATTCATGAATCCAGCGACATGTCAACAATTAATAATTTACATAAAAGTTTACGATTAGACCAAGATCAGAATGCTGTAAATTCAATATATTTAGCGTGTCAATCAATATACAGCCTAAATCAATACACTATATCATTGTGGAAAAGTTCTCCAGTTTTCTACAATTAATCACTCACTAAACAATGTTAAATACTCTTAGTGCGTTGATTATTAAATGGAAACGAAAACACTTTCATATTGACTAGGAATGATTTAGGGAACGAAATTCTCGCTTCTATTTTATTGATTGGCAACATTCTATGCATAGAATAGTATGTGTAGTTTCTGAATAATTTTAGAAATATTAACTTGATGTTTAAACAATTAATTACAATAGTAGTCATATTCGATATTTCATGATTTTTGACTGATATATTACTGTTTTTATTTGACACTCATTAATAAATAAATCACTGCTACTTTCATTGATCTTTCTTTTTCAAGGATCATTTTGTTCTTATCAGTTATCAACCTTTTTCAATCATGATTGTTATCAAGTGTAACAAGTGATTTTGGCTAAAACTATGTGAAATGATTTGTGTAAATGCAAAATGAGGGGAATCGATATTTATTCCGAGCAAATTCTTATAGACTCCTGTAATATCAAATACAATTATTCATTAATTAGTGAACAGTGTTAATATTTTCTTTGTCAATTAATTCTGATTTGACCATTGACTCAAACAGTTCATCATGACTGTTATTCTATTTAAGGGTCACTTATTGAAAGTTGTGCAGAGGAAACCCTGATTTATCCAGTTGGCACAGAATGAATCATGGATATGCATTGATAAGAAGTTGTCAACTGTGACGAGATAGCTAGCTATACAATGATTCCAGACTCCTTAGTGGTTTATATGGCTTAGATTAGTGCTTAATGCAAAAATAACCTGTATTGAAATTCGATCAATAATTCCAATAAAAAAAATCCTAATCTTTTTCACACAGTTTACTGATATGATCATCATTGAAATAATGCTTCAATTACTATTCATTGCTAGCTATTTTTTATCTATGCTATATGTGTGTTCATTATTTAATACTCTGGTGGTGTTCATACATTCATGTACTACTGCTACCACTACTACTCTTCATCATACATAACATTTATCATTTTCTTACAAAATTCATCTCATACATTATTCATTGTATAACAAAGAATTATTGATTTTATCTTAATTTACCCGCTATTGAACAAATTTAAAATGTTTCGTTTAATCTTGAAATATTATAGATTCAATATATTTGTAATCGCTTATATTTCATATGCATTACGGGGTTGTGAAGATTGTTAAGTTACACATTTTTGAAACCATGCTGAGGAGTCCCATACCAGGACGAAACGGCCGTCCAGTGCTTCCAGGTTTCTAATGGTGGTCTAACATTGATCGATTCGTGGTTTCAAAAATGTATATTTCATATCTCATTGTGGACATCAACACTGGTATTCAGATACAGTTGGATAACAAGTCGTGGATAAGACGAAGGAATTATATTTCAATATGGCGGCATGACAGACTGACTGCGTGTGTATAGACACAAAAATCACGTACCTATACTCACATTTCATTAAAAGACTTAAACAGTTAATGTAAAATTACCGAAAAGCGAATTACGCGCTCATTCAAAAAGTTCGTAACTATTGTTTTAATTATCAAAACAATCTAAAAGTAGTTATATTTCTCGGTGTTATAGTTTGATTTATAGCCTTGACACTGAATCGTAGTTAACTTCGTTCGTTTATTGATTTGGTACACTATGAGAAGGATATCTACCAACTAGATTGAACTATGATAAAATAAAATGACCATAAGTAATTAATTGAAAGGAAGTGATTATTCTTCTAATTTCTATATTTATCTTACTAATGATTTAATCTTTGTGTATATTTATATGTATTTATTCTAATATATATATGTATATATTTTCTCAGTATTCAGATTACCCGATTAGACCACATGTTTATCAACCGACACATCAAGCGGCAACTTTGTCATATAATGAATTTGATCATTACGATAATGGTACATTGAAACCACGTAAACCAAAAATAATTGCTGAACGATATAAATGCAGTGAAGTATATCAATGGCCACCGAAATTCCCCAAATTGAAACGACGCAAAACTAATCCACCAAAACAAATTCACACAGCACAAGATCATATTGTGATTAAACAACAATTGAAAACTACCGCTGGAAATAATTATTCACCTGTCAATCAACAAACAGAATCGAAAGCGGAACAAATCCATTGTATAAAGGTCAGTAAATCTATAATATATATAACATATTTTGTAAGAATTATCTACTTAAGACTGTGTTATCAAAAGCAACCGAATAAGATCACTTGATGACAAAGCGAAGCATATTAAAGTATGGATGCGTATCACTGGTCGAGAAACGTATTCATTTTCTAAGCGGAAGCTAAAGTAACCAGTATGGCTGGGGAAGGGGTTATCATGTATCACATTCGGATCTCAGACTGCAGACATTGTAAAATCTACCGATTTGTTCAGATGAATGGATTGATATCTTTAAACATTTTTCATTCTGTAAATCAAGATCAACAAACATTACAGGATGATGTGAATTGATTTTGATTTCATGTTCTCGAAATCTTTGTTTACCATGATTTACATCAACGATCCAGGAGCCAGGCGTTCGCACGTATGGCTGAAGGTCCTAGGTACGAATATTGAATAAGCAACTATTGAGAACCTGGAAACACTGGACATTCGTCTTATCTTAATAGTGGGCTTTTCCAAAGAACGCACGCACGCTTTTGCAACTGCGAACCAAAATCAGGACCCTCACTCTCGTAGGTGGATGCCTAACCTCTAAACTGATGTGCTAGGATAGAACAGTATATCAATCTAACTCCAATCGACCCCGAACAATGTGTGATAATATTCGATTGTCTTCTGTTCCGGGTTGAAGTGTTGCGGATATGCCACGTCGAGGATTTTCATACTGGGTTTAAGTATCCATCCAGTACTTTCCGGTTAGTAATGGTTAGACAACCTAGATCAGTTCATGGTTTCAATAAAACCCACCAATCTCAATAACCGCATAATTCTAATTTATTATTGTGGGTGTTATTATGATTTTGGTTAAAGTTTGTACGATGTATAAAGAATGCTTGTTTTCACATGGAGGAACTTTTTGGAAATTAGATTTGATTTTAAGTACATTACCAATAGCATTAGGCGATCATTCAGCCATAAAATAAGTTGATTTGGGTTAGGACCCCAGCCCCATGGTTCCAACTATTAGTTGTGTTAGTTGTGATATTTCCATGTCTTAAGTTCATATCCTAGTAGTAGTTTGAGTTATCACTATTGAGAAGTTCTGCAGATGAACTAAACAACTGTTCACTTTCTCCGTAGCAGTCCAATCGATATTATTCTATCCAAAAGTACAAACTACATGTATCTGCTTTTTATATTTCTTTGCACAGGTGAACAATCAATACCACTCGCCGAAACCCACCAGAGAATTAAGTGTTTCGCCGGAAAGACAAGTTACAAGTCTACATTCATTACAAGTAAGTAATACAAAAAAATAACCTTTTAGTTTATTGAAGTCAAATGATTATTTTGAAATATACCATTATTGTTAATTTACTGTGGTTTGTTCAAATGGTATATACATGCTAGTCACAACAATTATATTCACTACTATTTCATAAGACAGACCAATTTGTAAACATACCATACAGGTTTGATACCTTGTACGACCTTTAAAAAGCTCCACCAGGAACACTTAAAGAGTTAGTACTGGTCCCAGGTGCGAATAAAAGGAAAATGTTGTCAATGCAGTTTGAAATCCTATCCCGTATAAAACAAATTTGTCAGAAAACACCAACCCGAAAATAATAATTTAAACTTAACTTCGGTGGTTGGGAGATCTTTAATTAGAAGAACGATGATGCTTCATGATGAAGGCCGAGTTTCTTCGGAAGCGACGAAGTCATAGCCCCTCCTGACAACCAGAGCAACTATTAATGAGGGTAATCGGAATGTTCGTACGTTTTGGGAGACCGGAAGAACCATGAAAGTTGCTGAGGAAATGAAAAGATAGGACCTGGTGGTGCTTGGAATAAGCGAGACAGATTGGACGTAGACGGGAAAAAAATATTAGCTTCATGCAAGACGTTGTTGTATTCCGGCCATGAAGAAGAAACTACCACACACACAAAGAGTAGCACTTATAATGTCCAAAGAAGCCCATAAAGCAGTTAAAAGATGGTAATGTCATGAAATGAGAATCATCAAGTCATCGTCCAAAACATGATTACTTAAATAAACCATGCTAATACGTACTTCGAGTTAATTAATTTGTTTACTTTACTGACTATTGTATGTTGATTTTATTTTCTTAAATGTTTCTCACAGAGATCGACTTTACTTGAGAAATCTAACCGAACATCGGGCACAGAGTCACGTGATCAACTTTTTATAGCAGATTATAAACTAACACCAAACAATCAGGTTAGTTCATAGTAAAAATAATGGTCTATTTTTACGGCAGTACAAGGATTAAAATGTCTGAAATTTCATGACTTAATATAAGCGCTACAATTTCAGAGATAATAAATAAACATCTGGAATAATTTTGCATAGGTCTAAATAGTATCCATTAGCGTATGAGTACGACGTCCTATATTCGACTTCCAAATGTGAGGTTACCATTGAACACTGCTAACGAATCTCATGTAAAGATAAAACAGCCGACCATTGCTTTCAAGTTTATATTACTGGTCTAGCTAAAGATCTCTTTGTGTTTCAAACCAATGTGAACTAGTACAAATTTAAATAGTAAAGAAGCATGATCAGACTACTTAATTCAATCAAAATCAAAATACGTCCAAATATTGTCAGTGCTCGGTAATTTTTTGTTCAAGATAATTTCTATATGAGCTGTCAATACTACATGTACTTGTGTGTATGCTAGGGAATGAGTGAATTGGGAAACTTGCAGTGTGGAGATGTAAAGCGGGAATTTGTTTGGTGTGAAAAATCAATAGAATTAAATGTGTGGCTGTTTGGTGAAGTGGTAAAAAATTGAATTGATAGTCAAGTTTCTGTTTCTTTTGAAGGCAATAAGATTTAAATTTTTATGTAGCATTTCAACTAATCATTTTTCTGTAATATTAGAAAAACCCTCCTACAATATTTTGATATTTTAAATGATTATTTGGTATTTTTCTAACAACAGACTGCGGCGGTCTGTGATTACAGATTCTCTAGTCCTATTAGATTATAAAGAGGCATTTTCATGTAAACTAAGTGTTCCTTGACACGAGTCAATCATTCACAAGAATATTCTCCAGTGGAAAAAAAAAGCATCAGAATATTAATATATATATATATATATATATATATATATATATATAACTATAACTCTGTTATAGTTATAAAACACAGCTTTATATTATGTCAAACTAGAGTATTTGTTTCGAAGAATTATTAGTTGTGTTGATACAAAGTGCTTAGTCATTCATGTAAATAAGACATTTCTAGAAACATGGAAAAGCTGATACTCTCTCAACGTATCAGTCGTCATTTTCATCCGGCACTGTTTAAAACTATGATGTCTTACAGCTCTTTTCTGAGGTGTGTGAATGTAAAACATTTTCAATCATCTCATTGGTCATACATCGATAGCAGACTGCATCCATGAGAAATCAATTTATTCACTGGAATTCACCAGATATTTGCTCAGTTTTAAGTCAACCTGAATAATACTGTCTTCTTAATGAAAGAATAATGAAGCAGTCATGTGTTTTACATGCACATCTCAAATGAACTTTGAATATATGTATCTTATAGAATATAATGTCAGCTCAATAATTGAATACTAAACGTTTTACATTTATCTATATAGACACTGCTAGGATATTCTAATCCTTAAAAATTATCATGTCCCAACTGAAATTAAAACACATTTTAAATGTTTTCAATGCCATGTTTGATGTAGATAAACAAACTCTGCATAAGTCATTAACAATTTTTAAGATGATATTTCATCACAGAATGATTGATATGAACTGAAGAAACATTAAAAACCAATTAGTGTGACAAACTTATTTCATCTATGTTGTCTTAGCCAGTAGTATAGAGAGAGAGAGATAAAACCTCACATCAGATCAACCTTAGAGTAGTTAGAGCAAGTTGTAAATATGCTGCTTGATCACTAATAGTCTACAGAACGTAACTAACTAACCATGTCAGTACCGTACAAAATGGTACTTAATATTGATTCTACTGCATTGAGTATGACTTGAAGTTAAAAGAATAAATATTGCTGATCAATGAGACTAGAACTTCCCTAGAACACGATGACTCATGATGACTCATTCATCTAAAAATTATTATTTATTTGTTTTAATCTGTAAAAGGCAGTCAACTTCGATCATGTTCCTTTTTGAGTTCAATCTCTATCAAAATTGTACATGTGTTCGTTAATTTCTGAGTCCATGTTTGAACAAGTGTTACTTGATTATCAGTTGTACCTGAAATCAAACAAATACAAATTAAAATAGTCTTCCAAACAAAACCAATTGTCTTTGTTTAAATTTTGAACTTAGTTTCATTTGTGTCCAAGTGCCAATAATTAGGTCTTCACTTCTCAAAACAATTACAATATATGTATGTATATATTCATTTTAATAAATTAGACATCGTCAGTGCTTATTCGTTACAAACCAGAGGTAATCCTCACATTATTGTTTCATAACTACTCACAGCTGTCTAATATTTTTTCTTCTGTAATAGTCTTTTCAATGATTTCTTAAAATATCATATTTCTAGCTTAATTGAATATTTAACGTTATGAAAAATATTAACCGCGTCGATTGATATCTTCGGTAGATTTTCAATTTAGTTGTTAGATTTTATTTCACTGTCACATTTTCTAATTACTCGCTAAATTTCCATAGTAGTTTTCAACATAACGTTGACAAATAGATGAAGTATTCTTTAAGTGCAGTGCTTAAATTCACAATATTTTACCAGTGTGTATTTATTCAAGGCTGATGAGGACCACATAAGGAGGACAACGTGTTTAATTTGACTGGATTTTACTTTAATGGCTGCAGTAAATTTTAAAAATATACTAACATATAATCTTGTCCACCTATACTATGAATTTCCAGTTAATACTTTGTGCACATCTTAACATTGAATATTGCTAAATAGAATGAATTTTTTAAATCACTCCTCTCATTTCTCACACATTAGGTATTGCTGTGCAAAAATGTCTTTACGCCTACGCAAGAAATGTGTAATTCTCATTATTTGATTCACTATCGAACTAAAAAATTACAATCTTCATGAATAAAACACAGTAATTAATAATTCTGACGTGAAAATTGTTAAGCAACTCAGTGAGAATGATTATTAATCAAGGTGATTGGTACCGCTGGATTTCGATTAAATCTATGCCCCTAAATTATGATGATAACATGTAAGCATTTATTGGGAAATAGCTTGATCCTGAGTTGAAGATCGCTAGTAATTACCTTGGGCGGGCGAAGTGTCGATCTATCCAGATCATGCCATTATTAGAACTGACAATGAAACTTAAAGGTCTTTGTGAAATATGAAAATCTACATATATTAGATGTTATGACAGTAACATTTCTTAGTTTATTTCACTAAATGACTATAATTAAACAAATATTATAAACCAAAAATTACTGAACAGTTGTTTCTTCCTAGTCTAAAAAGTGTTATCCAAAATTCAACCAGAGACTGAACTCATCACCTTTAAGCTTCAAGGTGACCACTTAACAGTCAAACCACTGAGTTAACTTCTAACAGAACTGAACAAAAGATTCTAAATACGTTCCTTACACAGAAAAACATTCTACAATATTGATAATAAAAAAAATTCTGAAGGTCTACAAACGAGTGATTATGTAATGAATAAACGCTAGTAATAAGTAAGAATAAAATGATTTAATGTCAGTTAGTTAAAATAAGATGACTAACCTAGAAGACAACCGAAACAAAAAGTATTAAGAATGTAATTGGTTGAAATAAAGAGTTGAACGAAATCTAGTGATGTAATAAAGGAATATCGTGATCATTAAGGCAAAAAAAACGATTACCAACCATCTCTTTTTGAACATCTGACTCAGATTTCTAGTGACTGATAATAAGGAATTCAGCAAACCTCAAAAGACTGGATCTAGGCTGTTTACTATTCACCTTGAAAGATTCCAATGTATCAAACTGATATCCTGTATCCAAGACATGTTTAATGATTGCACTGTTGACAGTAGATCTTTCTACTGTTCGAAAGCTTTTAAGAGTGTTTAGAAAATCAAAGGTATACACTCCTTCCTGTTCAGCCAATATAGCTGCTTTGGCAGGTAGGTGTACGTAAATTTATAGCTACAGTTGTAGACAACAAGAAAGGGTTACTTATCAACCTTTGGTTGTGTTATTAAACAAATTGTTTGATATAACGATAACGATTTAGTTGCCTGATAGTCTTTTTTTTCAACATGTTTTTAACAAGAAAATAATCTTTTATTTTAATGAAAACTTTCTGTTAGAAATAAATTACTACTAGTTTTTGTCCACTTGGCAATGATTTGAAGTAATTAACTGCACAATACTAAATTTGCACAAGTTAATCTATGTAAATATGGTGACTCAATATCATCATATTACCTGATTGTGGATAAATCCTACTTTTTCATTAACCCTATTCAACTAGTCACAAATGAATTTCAATAAATTTTTAAGAATTGATTACAAGTTAATTATAGAAAACTTCATTTCGTCTTCATTATATTCATGTATTTTAAATTGTTATCGTTGAGAAAAAGCATTCACAATTCAATAAGGCAGTTATGTGGACAATAAAATAGACTATTTTTTATTGTGTGATGATAAGATCAAGTCATTTTTGATGGTTATTTGAATCTTTCCTTTATCAGTCTGTTTAGCATATATGTATCCTGAGTGGCTTGCCTCAACATTAACTATAGGTTATAAGCATTATCAACAGAGGTGGGTAGTGGCTACTAGTGGAGTCCAGGACAGGCGTTTCTTCCTATTTGTGACTTGTCTTTCGCTGGACCTACCTAAATCTTCGAAATAATCTTCACTCCGGGACTCGAACCTAGTACTGTTCACTTCAAACGCTTCCTGATTTCCATCGCTAGCCACTATCCACTCTTGCTTATAATGCTATAATCAGAGTAAAGATCACAAAACATTTTATAATATTAAAACAGATTGAGAAGTATATGAAACATGATAAATGATCGATTTTTCTATCCATCTCTATATAAATTTTGACATAGAGCGTTAATAATTCAATTTTTGTTTCATGTAACTTCAATTATTCATAGTGAACTCTTTAAAGAGATCAGTCTATTAATAGTTCACTAAATAACAGAATAGTTGATGAATTAAAAACACACTAGAATGGAGGAAATATTTTATGTTGGGGATGTAAGATCCCCAAAATTCGCTTGATAAATGCCTTATTTTGGTTTTCACGTTTACGAGCATGGGTCGGTCAGTTGACCTTGAGATTTCGATTCCCACCAGGAAAATCCATGGCTGTGATTGGCTGCTGTGTATTTTAGTGTGCTATTTTCTTAACTGTCTCAAGGACGTTTCTATGTAGTATAAATAAACGAGAGTTGTATGCTTGATTGTACTGTGATTGCTGGGTGTTTGTAGAATATACTTTCTACGCTTACAAAGCCTTCTTACTTCAGCTTGGGATTCAAGGTAGCCTACCTGGACGCTGGTAAAAGTCTCGTTCGCGTTTACTGACTAAGGTAAACTCGTAATAGCTTCAAGCATACTTAGTGACGAGCGTAACATTTTCTACGCTTAAACCTCCTTCGGCATCGATTTGGGGACAAGAATGCAAAATTATAAAATTTTTTTAAATGCTACATAATTTTCATATAGTATTGACCCATGATAACATGACATCTGTTCTCTCTGTTCATACTTTAGGTTGGATCTATGAAACCTGGTGCTTTAGCTTTACCATATTTTGCGAAAATAACAGAAAATAAACGATTTTCCAAATTCCATCAAAACACTAGTAACAATACTCATGACAATGACAATAATATCGCTGTATCTGCTGAAGTGATGCGTTCAGATTCGTCAAAATCGTCAACTGTACTAAAAGATGCCCTGAAAACGATGCATCCATTACTTCAAAATGTACAGGGGGACGATGTCCTCCCATCAGCTGGAGATAGTGATGATAGTAAACATTCAAAATTATTGATTACTTGTCTATCGGAATATTTATTCACTTGTATGAAACTACGTTCATTAGATTTACAAGGTGAATATGCTACATTTGTATTTCCATTGAAAAATTTCGATGAAAAATCATGGAATCATTATGGAATAATTGATAATTGGAATGATCTGTCGGTTGTTTGTGCACCGAATACAAATTATGAATATGTTGTGCTGGTAAATAGCTTTATTTTTTTTTCTTCAGTTCTTTTTTATGGTTTGATTTTTTTTCTGTTGGAAATCCGATAAATTTCCAGTCAGAGTCAGTTTTTGATACATATCGTTTTATTTCAAGTGGCACTTCAAGGAGTTCTAGAAGAGACGTAGTAATCAGTAGTGTCTGGCTAGGTCGGATTTGAGGTATTCACCAAACAGATAATATATATGAAGATTTTTTCTCTATTCTAAAGACTGATTGAAATGGAGTATGCAGACAAAAGATAACCGAGTGCTGCTCATCAAGTGTCAAGGTCGTGCGTTGAATCCTCGATAGGCTCATTGGCAGTCACTGCTAAAAGGATCTTGTATGCAGTAATCAAAAACTAAGCCTTCAGTAATTAAACTTTGTATTAGATATTTTCGTAAACGGCTAAATTTTTAAATGTTCGTAACGTTGAACTATGAAAGTAAGATAATCTAGTGTGAGCAGATCACTTCAAGGTCAAAGTGTAAATACCGGAACAGACTGTCGTCTATCGTAACTAGATGATTTGTTTTGTGGATAAGTAATCAATATTCCAGTGAAGAATATGACTTTAACTTTTGGAATCGAATCGAGTGCTAGAAATAGCCTTAAGGTTTGGCATTAAGGTAAATAAAGGTTAATCTAATTACTAGCTCTTAAGTTTTAATAAAAAATCTCTAATAATGACTTTAACCGAAATAATAAATTTTTTAATTTACATGAAATGGTTGTCCAGATTGTTGAAATCATGAGTTGATCAGTGTTAGACCACCATTAGAAACCTGTTAGCACTAGACGGCCGTTTGGTCCTGATACGATTCAGAAGTTATGCTCGCAAAACCGAAAGCCCTGAGTTCAAATTCGGCGACTAGCGACGAAACGGCCGTCGAGTGATTCCAAGTTTCTAATGATGGTCTAATATTGATCGATTCATGATTTCAGAAAAGTTAGTTTCTAATTCTAAATTCTAAAACCAAATCTGACCTTAATTTTAAATCTTAATCAATACATCCTAATGTTAAAATGTGATACTGTGTTCAATGCTAAATCCTAATCTTAAATTAAATCATAAATCGTAAAGTTTATACTTTAACCTTGAATTTTATTTAATCTTAAAAACTTAATCCTAAAGCTTAAATCTTAATTCTAGACTTATAAAGCATTCAGTCATATTTGTTACTTTCTGTTTAACTGAATAAAATTCAAAAAATTTATTACGTTCTTAAGTAGCTTTCATTTATAGTTCAGATTTATGCATATTAAGATAGAGGAAAAAAAAGCACCTAGTTATGTGAGATAATTATCAGAAATTATTTTGTTACATACCTTGATTATCTACTGATGCTTCGTTTTTTCGTACTTCATATAATCAGATATTATATATTTGGCTAATATGAACTAAATTATTTCATATAATAATGTGTACTCTTCAACTTAATGTATATTTTCGAGTGAAATAAATGTTATTACGCTTCTTAGATTATAAACAGTTAAGTGGAATTCACGAAATAAGACATAACCAGTAGAGTTGGACTCTGTGGTGTGTAAGCAGTAACTACCGAAGACAATGGGTGAGGTTGCACACTACCCTAGGTTGATCAAAGTTAGACATCAAGCCCAGTTCAGTGAGGTTCGATTCCTGCGTGTGGTAGGATTCATGAAGGTGCACTGCTGATGAATCTGACATCGGGACGAAACAGTCAGCCAGTGCTTCTAGGTTCATAATAGTTGTTTAACAATAATCAATTCATGATTCCAGTAATTCAAAAATTTAATGTTTATAAAGTAAAATGATTGTTAAATAAAATTAAAAAAAGTTATAATTATTGATTTTTTTTATTGATTCACACTTTCAACCAATTTTTTCTTTAATACCATACAGAATATCACCAATGAATCTGGACACACTATTAAATTTCCTACAAAAACCACTGATAAACTATTAACCAGTTGGTTAGATAATCAAACTACCAAAACACCTTCATCGGATAATCCTCGTCATTCATTAGAGAATAAGAATAATAAAGAGAAAATATCCAATAACAAGTTACTTCATTCAATTAGTCTGGCGGTCACATTGAAAACTCTATTAAATGTATTTGAGAAACATGACGAGAAACAACCTGACAATGAGCAGTCTCAATGTGAAGATTTATTTTTAACATGTATTAAACTGAGTATCCTATTAAGTTTAAGTGAATGTTTAGATAAGCATCAAACAGCACAATTTGATTTGAATCCAGAAAATATTTTACTAATCTTATCACCATCAAATTGTTTAACAATTTTTAAAAGTTTAGAAAAAATTCCAAATTCTCCGAAAAATGAAAAACCAACTAATAATATTGATAATGATAAATTGGAATTGAAAGAGAATAATTTACATTCACTATTGAACAGTTTACATATTGAACATGATTCAATACATGAAAGTTTAAATGATTTATTGAAACATTTGCATGAAATTATTCAGCATCGATTGAAATTTCCAGATATGATAACATCTTTATTGAAATCGGTTGCACCGCCAGATTGGATTACAATTTGTGTAGCTAGAATATGTTTGTATAATCAAACAAATTGATAGAAATGCAAATTATGATTTTCTTTTTTTGTGTGTCTCATCGCTATCATCATCATCCTCATCATCAGTCAGTCATTAATATATTATTGTTATTCTTATGAACTTTCATTTATATACATCATATTTCTCTTATATACACTACCTTTCTATTATACAATCTAAAGAAATATGATCCGATCTTCATTCATAAACAATGAATCAGAAGAAGCCAAATAAATGAGATTGTTTTTCTGTTATTTCGTTGACAAAAACCAAATGTTTTATGAATTTTTACACCTCAGGTTATTATCTACCATTATTATTACTACTACTCACACTACCACTACTACTAATAACACTACTATCACTCCATATACTACTACTACTACTACTACTAATACTAATACTATTACTGAGGATGATGATATTGATGATCGGGTCAACTGAATTGAACTAGTGTTTTGCATGTTTAAAATTGCGCGTGTTGCTTTTCGTTCTGTGATCAAAATCACTGTTCTACTGTTTATATATTATCAATTTACCAGTTATTTATACACAGTGTTGAACAGTTTTAAAAAAAAAAATTTTTTTTTGTTAACTTTCGAGAGACATTTGTTGACTTGAACAAATTACCATTTATTATTGATCATTTATTGGATGAGAACAATTTTAGTATTGAAATCAAAATAGCTGTTAATTATTATTATTATTATTATTATTATTATTATCTTTACAAACTATAATATTAAATCTATTTATTTTCTTTTCCAGCAACATTAATGCTATATAGCTTTTATGCTTGTCAAAAGGTATATATATATATATATACTACATATATATATATATATACTACTTATTATTCATAAGCTTATTTTCGAATGCAGCTTAATGCAATACCACAGGTTATAATAATAATAATAATAATAATAATAATAATAGTGGTAGTTATGTTACTGCTTTCTCACTTACTCTTCTCCACCTAATCTATTTGCTATTCAAGAAATCATGCATGTTTGCTTGTTAAAATTAAATTTAATAAAATAAAAGCCATATGTGATCATTATTTCACTTCCTTCTTTCTTTGTCTTATCCTTTTTCAAATTCAAGTTTTGTTTAAATGAATAACAATTTACTAGTTTGCATTGTTATGTGTATTTATGGTATGAACTGGTAGGAAGGAAATTTTAAAACCTATAGGGATATGTCTTTTTCTCTTGAAAAGTAGTTACAATAAGCATTCAGTACGTAGAACAACCGACAACATCAACCAGCAGTATCATCGACTTGCTGAAGAGAAGTTTTAAAAAATATGCTAAGGTCTGGCGTCCATTATTGACTCATAATCTGATTCAAGTTACTAGGTATAAAATACCATTAAAAACAATGTAATGCTTTGGATTCGGTGAATTTCAACGTTGTCTTTTATATTTCAAATTATCACTGAGGAAAACGAACCAACTAATTGAAGTGTAAAGTGATCGAATTAGCGGTTATGTTCAAGTGAACGCATAACGAATAAGGATTAAGAAATCGAATTAAGTGTTAACTGTTGGAACAGAAAGATAGTCACAACTGCTTGTTTGAAACACAATTGGTTAAACAGCAACATTCATTATTATAACCAGTTGTACCGAACATTACCGAACATTTCGTTCATTCGTACATTTGTACTGCTAAGACTGGACCTGAAAATTCCGGAGGTTATCAGACTTATTAAGGCCCACTGCTCCCCCTCGCTTGAAGTTTCCGGTAACTTTATCAACTCCATTAAGGGTTGGAGGATTCATATAAATTTGCCATCCAGGTTTATCGAAGATCGTGGATAACTGAAGTGTGTAACTGAAGGCCAGTTGCACTGCTCCAAACACTCAGGTTCCTTATCTTTTCGCTTGGACTAACTACTTGATCATTAAAGTCACCACCGACTATGACTAACGTTTTGAGGGAGGCTGGAAATTTTTCTCTATTATTCATTTTTCACCTCATCCGAGCTGCAATCAGTTGTAGCATAGGCAGAGACAACGAAGAGTAAACGGCAAGTGTCCTTGTCTCTCCGAGTCCTTGATGTCCTTTCTAGTAGAAAGGCACATAAGCGACTGTCTGCTGGGATTCACTCCAAGAAAGCTAGTTCTGCAAGAGAATTCATTGCTATACCTGTGAAGTGTGTCGATGCATCTGCGTTTACTGAGTTCGGTTAATAAATCAGAAAATGAACTCGTATTGATGAATACGTTTATTCGGAACACACCACAAAGCGAAGCGGAGAAGCGAATTGGAGAAGGCTAAGAGCCAACTCTTTGGATTACAATGCGAGTGAATGGGAGAAGCGAATTGGAGAAGGCTAAGAGCCAACTCACTGAGACAAAGCATGACTAAGAATATATAGTCAGGTAAAAATAAGACGGACATAGACAAGCGAAATAGGTATGCACACATATGAATAAAAGCGACAAATGATTGACAAGGTCAAATGACAAGCGGGACATGTCATGTGAGCTCATACAAACCAGACAATAATAAGAACGAATGGTACATATAAATTGTTGCTATACAAATGGCTTGGTTAAATAATTAATCGAAAGGGCTTAACCAAGTTAGATGTAAGCTAACTGAAATATATGTGGAGGCACTACACCTGCAACAGTGAGGCCACTGGAAGCAGCAGTGAGGCTTTTAGGTAAATGGGGAGTAAAAAGAATCGGCTCCTTACTTTGGCAAAGTGAGGTCAGATGTATAATTTTAATCGGTTCCTGTATGCGCGTTTCTCAGAAGCAGCATACGTCAGTCGAACCAGAATCTAGAGTCCTTTCTAAGAAGGTCTGTTATCCTATTCAGCAGCAGGTTCGAACATTCAAAGCTCCAACATGTTGTTGAGAGCGAGGTTACAGGAGACCAGGAATTACGTTTCATGCATTCAAATCGTTAGCATTAGAGGCGCAAGATGAGAAAGCTGTACAAGGAGGGTTACTCGTGAAGATAAGATAGTTATTAAGAGGTGTAGGAAGGATCTGTTTGTGAATACATTGATCTCGTGTGTTGTTTGGGGTATGAAGGCGGATGTCCACACCGTGGAAGGGTGTTTCTTGAGGGACCTGAAAAGGAAAGTAGGTTATTGTTGGTCTTAAAGACCTGGAAGCGTTACTGCAGATCCCAAGGGACAAGTGCTTTAGGCCAGTCGCACGCGGCCTTCTATGGAAGTTTTCAAAGTAGGGTGGTATGACACTTCTGGGTTCGACCTTTTCTAACCCCTTCTGTTGTAAGGAGGCGGTATCGTTTCAGATGCCAGTCATCTGAAGAAAGCACCTTACTTCTGTAAAACCCGTCTACACTTAGCAGTACGAAATTTCTTTCAGCTATTATACTGTTGCTTTCAGCCTTGCCATTCTCAAACCAGCCTACCTAACGTGATAAGACGTAGATAATCATGAATTCCCGTTGAAACAGCTCTGGTTGGGTCATTATGGTAGTCAAACCTGACCATCACGTCTAGTTATCAGCAGGTTCGAATATCCAAGCTCCAACATGTTGTTTAGAGCGAGGTTTCAGGAGACTAGGAATTATGTTTTATGCACTCTAATTATTTGCATCAGTGGTGTCAGGCGATAAAGGAATGTGAGGTTTAGTTGTAGAAGTAGGAGAGTTTTTAAGAGATGGGGATAAGATTGCATTGTGACCAGTTTGGTTGCTTGTGCTGTTGATGGTATGAAGGAGGATTTCATTTCCTAGCTTTTCACACTGTGTAAGCGCATTTCTTAAGAAATCTGAAAATTAAGCCGGGTTAATATTAGTCTTAGAGACCTGGAAGCAAGACCACAAAGCCCATTATGTGAGGCCTATTTGTGGGAAGTTTTCAACGTGTTTGCTCCACTCTTCAAAAGGCCTTGCCGTGCGAGACGCAGAGCAGTGCGCTAAGGTGGGGTATGACATTTTTAGGGTCAACTTTTTTAATCCCTTTCTTCCAAAGGCCTTTTTTCGTATATAAAAATTCCGTATGGCCGTCCTATACATTAGGTGACTAAAATATATATTAAAACGCAACAGTATTGAAGGCCGTCTAGAAATCTGATGAACTAGTGAATAAAGTAAACCATGGTGTCAGTTCCTCAAATTCTAACTGGTCGCTGATCCCAAAAAAAACACAAAACTTGTGTAAGAAGAAGATTTAGCATGCTCAAGGCCCACAATGCATTACTGAGATTAACCTTGTTCGATTTCTTAATGAACAGACGGGTACACCGGTGAAGGTTAATATCTGGTTTTTAGAATGTATTAATCTTCTTACGAGCTGAAAGTGGACTCCCTGGATGCTCGGAGCCATGCTCTAAAAGTGGTTAGTTCGAACCCCATTAAAAGTTCTGAAATGACTGATCATGTATGCAGTGTCACTAGGTGGGCGAAGGATAGAAAATCCTGAAACTTAGATTATATGTGAACAAGTGGTCGAAACTTTTCACGTCTACGCATCACTAGGAAGTAGTGACCACTGAAAAGTCATGTTCAACATGGTCATAAAAGAAGAACTCATTTGGGATGAATACGAGCCCAACCTTTACTACACTAGAGTAACTTACACGCCCTTGAAAGACCATCTTTTACATGCCCCATGACCACGAGAACAGTGTAAGCTGACAGTAGATGATAACCTGATATCATCCAGAATGTTTTCCTAACTAATGTATCGCAGGGACACTTTACACCTGGAAAGAGAAGAACTTCGGTTAAGGAAGTCACTGAAAGCTTGCAATAGAGTTAGGAAGGTCTGTGTGAAGGAATTCGACCGTAGTTCTTACTTCGTATGGAGAAACAGATGCAACGCCGAAGCTTAAAGTGATTGAAGACACTTCTAGATGGAGCTAGCTGAAAAATAAAGGCAAAATCAAAATGTTTGTCCAGGTTCATTGCTGATAGAAAACCTACAAACAGGGGTTTCTGTGCCCTCAAAGATCCGAATGGCGAAGATCTTACCAACTTAGAGATAGGTGAGATCTTTAACACTAACATCAGCGATCAGTTGAACCGAGTACCTACACGTTCACAGTACTGCTCAAAACTAATGCCAGCTGACGGCTTAGGGAATATCCAACGCACTCCTGACTTAGTTCTAAGAAAACGAAAATACTTGTGGCCGGGAAAGTCACGATTATGTGACAATAAAAGTCTTACTGTCTTGAAACAGTGTGCAGACGCCGTCAGTTCACCGGATGTAACCCGTTCAGGCATTCACTTAAGTCACACTAACTCCCAGCTGAATGGAAATACGCTACTCTGTCACAACTCTTTAAAGAGAAGATAGGAAAGACATAGTCTGTTACAGACCAGTCGCATTGCTACCAGTACTAACGAAGGTAGTAGAGGGACTGGTAAATAAGCAAATGAGGGAGTAGTACATGGATAAGAAAAAAATTCCTCCATGAAGCTCAAATCGAACGAAGTGGCTACGTATCGAAAGTGTGAACCCTTTCTAGCTGGTTGCTACTGTTGTGATTCCACTTTTATATAGCGAACGCAGTTGGTTTAATAGAAACATTCATTATTACAACCAAGTGTACCAGTGATTGTTTTACTGGACCTCTTTGTCTATTACTATCTGTACGAGCAAACTTTGTGTTTATGTCGCTGTCATTTTTTGGGTTATATTGCTCATTGTCACTTCGCTATCTTTTCTGGCACGATTTCGGTATTCCTTCAATACCACAAAATTGCCACAAAGTATATTCTCTTGTATGCATTAACTCTTCTTCTCTGTCTTTAATTCACGGAGATACTCTATTTAATGACGGGAACGTGATTGGCTTGTAGTGGTTTTTACAGTCAGCCGCGTCTCATCCCATTGCAAGAACCTGATCCAACTGAGTTTCAAATGACGTTACAGCAATTGAGGGATGGGCACTAGACAACTGATTAAAACTTGACTGGTTGGATTTTCA